CAACTGCTTCTCGGAGGTATGTGATGTCTTTAAAATGCCTCAGAGGACCCTGTCTTAAGCCTTCCACCAACATGTTCCTGGGGAGTCTTGCGGGGGCTTCTGCTATGGTTCTAAGTGGTCAACTTGCTAGGATCTGGTCAGCTGCTTCCAGGAGACCCAGCAGCAGGAATCATCCAAGTTTCTGGAACTACCCAGAAACTAACTTGACCTTGCCAATTGCTCCTCTCAGTGAATGGCTTGCTGGGCACTGCTGGGCCTGGTGGAATCACTTGCTCTTTTCAAAGCACAGTTTTTATTTGAGATTTATCCCATTTCCTTGGAAGATCTTTTATCTTTAACATCTTGGGATTTTCCTTCTGAGTCCTAATGTTTATTCACCTCTCTCAGTGTCAAAGTAATGCTGTGCTCAAACAAACAAACACTTTACATGTTCTCTTATGACACAGGGAACCCTACGCCAGCTCCATTTCCTCCCAATTCACTATAGTATGGAGTAAACACAGAGAACAGGGAGAAGAGGGTTTTTGCGAAACCTTAACAGCCATTCACAAGCCTTATGTTCTTTTTTAGAATCCTGACTCTAATGGAACTTGAAAAGTAGGAACTAAATCATGGGTTAAGAATATCATTTTATAAGTAACCTTTGTAGTCTGATTTAAAAGTGTTGTGGTCTTAAAGCATTTCTTCCTCTCAGTTTGTTATTTCTGGGACACACCTGTCTCTACTTACTTTGCAGAACAGTTCTTCACATATTTGCCAAAGTTTCAAGCCTCTGCCCAGACCTTCTTCCGTTGTTTGTCAAAATGGCAAGTTAGCCACAATTTTCTATAAAGATAAAGCTTCTGTCGTTGTTCAGGGGAAACAAAGGTAAGCTATCTCCAGATAACAATATTTAAACAGTTGAATAATTGCCACAGCATGCTTTTGTTATTTTAAACATAGTAGCTGGATATAACACAAAGAAAGCTTCATATTATAATAATAAAGAAAAGAGGGCAGCTTCTCACTCTTCAGGGGAGTCACATTCAGATTCCATTACAGTGGAGTTCATCTACTTTCAGGATACAATCAATGAACTATACATATTTAAGAATTTTTTATGTGATTAGTCAAATGCTGCATATGTATAGTGAAAAGAAACATCTAGTACATCCTCATCTACTGTGACTTTAGGGTGTGTGATCTTCGTTTTTTTTTAACAACAACCATGGCCCATGGACCCACAGGACATGTAAATTGGCAATATCCATCCGTCACCCCATCAAAATCATAAAATCCTTCCTGTCCCTCTGGCAATCTTGAAGTAACATCATAGCAGGACTGGGATCAACCATAACAGTCAGTTTTTACAATGTGCAATTTAACTGTAATGACACACATAAGAATGACTTCATCACAAAGTTGTTTCCCTGAGACATTTGTGTCTTCCTATCAATATGAAAAACAACATTCAAGGGTAAGCATACATTAGCAGCACATTTCAATATTGGAAAAACAATCTGTCCAAGATTATCTCACTTTCCATCACAGGATAATTAATACAATCTGAACAATATCATAAAAGTAGACACAAAATACACTTATTATCACATTTAGTTGTTGAACAGGAAGTATTTCATGTTTGGACAGAATTCTACCTAGAAGACAAGTCCTAAGCTTTCCTTGCTTAGGAGCCCCTTGAAGCTGTATCTCTAGGGTGCTGGGAAGCTTTTTCAGCCCAGTTTGCTTTGTGTTTGTTGCCTGTCCAGTTGATCCGATGCTCGTGAATACCACCACCATACAAACAAACAAACAGGAAAACAAAGGTAAACAATGAAAGTTCTTTTAGAAAAGATTTTCCTGCCTTCAGACAAAAGCTGAAGGCATTCCTATAGGAACCCAGCATATTTACTGTGCCTGATTCTTCATCATTCTCCCAACATACCCTCCAAAAAGAGAGAGAAAAAGCAATAAACGTATTTTGCAACTTAGCAAATCAAAAAGAGCAATGTGGGTGCTATGCATATTAACACTGATAGAATTGACTGGCCAATAAATATTATTGTCTTCACATATCTTAAATATGAGTGGTAATTATTTGATGGCATTGCAGGAGTTGTACATAATCTACCAGTCCTGTGTTGCTTGTGAATATCAAAATTTCATAGTATTTAATGGTACTATTTGGAAGACCTTAACTCTTAATTAATTATATCATTTGAGTATATTTTATAACAGTATTTCTTAATTAGGCTATGTTTTAGAATGCCCACACTGGGCACACTGCCCAGTGCCACACCAGCAGCATTTCTCCCGGTTTCTTGACATTCATCCACAGGCAGTGGGCCCAAGTGTCCATGTCACTCAGTATTCCTGAGATCTCCATTTAAGGACTACACATGTGGAACAAGACAAAGTTGGAAACCAGCAAGCACATATCCTGCTGCAGGCAGTTCCCTGAGAACGGAACATTTTGCTTTTAAAAAGCAAATTAAGGTTTCAAGCACAGACAATCAGATAGAGCTGGTGGATCAAAACATAATTAACAGAAGCATTTGTGTATCAAAACTTATCTGAAGAGACTGATTCAAATTCTATCCCCTGCAAGTATTTGGTCACTGGGAATTAGAGAGATTCGATGAATTCACAGGGATTTCACTGCACAACAAATCATTAAAAATTATATGAGAAGGAAAAAAAAACTAAATGCAATCAAGAAAAGATTATGAAGCCTATTAAGTAAGCTCAAGTAACAACTTCTTTGCACCAGAAGACCGTTCTGTGGATCAAAGGAAATGACCATTCTTGCTTTATTATGAGGGGAGATGCTTCTTGGCTGAAGGTTGGAACGTGAGGATGTGGCTCCATGTGCAAATGGTCCCCTTGCCAGTGCCCAATATTCTTAGAGACCTGGTCATGCAACTGGGAAAATGTGAATGCAGTCATTGTGGTAGATTAAGGGAAAATTCAAACAGAGCACATTCATTATTTTAGCAAAACAGTACATCTATCAGCATGGTTGATGAGCCTGAAACCCTGTTGAAAAAGATATTTATTTGCTTATTTGTGTTAACTCTGACAGGCTTCTAGCATAATAAATGCTATTCCTGTGGCCTAAAAGAAACATATTGCTCCCTTTCTAATCAATAAGGTCAACTGTATGCATTTTAAAACACCTTAAATGAATCATGTGTTTCTCTCACCGAGGTCTGATTTCTGAATACTATTCTTTTCTAAACTGTGTTTGCACATATTGCCATTCAAGTAAGAACCTGATTGCTTAAACTTTGACCCCACAGCTTCTGTGACAATTAGAATTTATGCCCCTCTAGGCCTGTGCCTCCTTTAAAATGAAATACCCTCCAAAAAGAGAGAGAAAAAGCAATAAACATATTTTGCTTCCCACATATTAAAAGATAAAAATAATGATAATGAAGGGTCACATTAAGTTGAAACAGAAATAAAAATTTGCCTGGGCAAATCATTAAAATTTGTGTTTTCCATGTGAATTTCACATATGGATGGAAGTAGTTTGAAAGCTGAAATTGGAAGTTTTTGTTACCGTATTTTTATCTACTATTTAAAAATTAGTGTTTTAGTTATTAATTTGGCTTGACAAAAAAAGATTTTGTTGGCAATTTTCAAAGGCACTGCTGCATGATGAAAAGGCATTTGAACATAATTTAAGTGTTAAACATACTAATTGAAAAATAGTATGGATTTCCATTAGGCGATTTTACATATCCGAAAGGTCAGATTAGGTTTCAACAACTGCAAATACATTGAACTAAACTTCTATTCAATCGTACTAAAAATATATCAGTGCAGTTAAAGATAACAGAACTCAAGTAAATAAAAAGTACAATTTCAGCTTCCAGATTACTAATTGTATAAAATGGATTGTACTTTAAGTAGGTAGAAGTGCAATTTGATTTGGCAATATGGGATTTCTTGACATTACAACAAAATTCTAAGCCAGGTGCAGAGAAGGAGCTTTAGCTCAATAAGATTAAACTCTCATCATAAATTCTTCCTACATAGAGATGGGACACTGTTTGGCATTTTGATTTTTCTTTCTTTGGGCAGTTTCAAGGAGTAGAGAAGGAATTTGTCTTTATTATATAGCTTGTTTTCATTTCAGATTATCAAACAATAAACATTTATTTAAAATGCAGATAATTTTAGTAAAAGGGACTTAGGAATATTGCATCTGCTTCATAGATTCTATGAACTCCTCAAAGTGCTCTAAAAACACTATAAGTTTGATTAGCAGCAAATCATTAGTCTAATCAAAACCTCCCTCTCTCCCTCCCCTAGATCTATGTACATATGCACACACCTTACATCGGTGTATTCTATTACTCTAACTGAAATCTGACAATTTGCATTATGTCCAGGTGCTGTGCAAGGTTTTTAAATACTGTCTACACTGTGTCATGGCTCAAGACCACTAGCACCCAAGTGGTTAAGAGAAAACAAATTCTTTGATTTAAAAAAAAAAAATCACATATTTTAAATTTCTTTTAAGATTAAAAAAAAATTAGAGGATACCATGAATCAATCACCCAACATATCATTCTAGGTCCTATAGTTTTGTTTATCTAAAATTATTTTTTTTGTATATGAAAGGCTAGATGCCTTTCAACATAGTTTCAGCCATCCTGAGTATAAAATGTTCCTTTGAAAAATATGCCACTTTTTTTTTTCCATCTCAGAGGAAAGCTCTGTGACAGGGGGTTCCCCCACACAGATGACTTTTGCAGCATTTTCTTCCAGGAGCAACATTGACAGCCCTGTCATCCTGTATATAATACGTACTGGGAATGGAGACCCCCACCCAAGAACTATAGCTGTCATACATCCCACACAGGATCTCCAGAAAAAAAGATGCTCCTGGCCCCATGGCATTTTGGTCTCTCCCCTTCCACACCCTCTAGCAAAATCCAGTCCTCAGCATCTTGTTGTAGTGGCTGAAGTCCAGAACTTGAACTTTACTGGGAAAAGCAAGTTCATTCAAAGTGCAACATTTTCATCTTTTGGTTGGGTGATTCTTCGTCCCCCATGGATAGGAGTGATACCTAGAAGATTCCCAAATAGAAAAGAGTTCTCTGTCAACACAAATATTTTAGTTCACACATTCCGTTTCAAAAGCTATGGCTCAGGCACATAAGTAAATAAATCACAATAAATTTTAAAAAGTGTATTATCCGGATGGGAACATTTATAAAAAGCTGTCTTTTACTGAAGCTCAGTGCTAACAGGGTCTTTCTCAAATTATGAATTCAGTAGGAATTAAAAATACTCTAGAGTGGAAAAATAAACGCCAATTCCATGTAGCTTATACATTTGAATGCTGTGTGCATTCAGATGACTATTTTACATGTTCATCAGTCATGAGGAAATAGAGAAATGCAAGCCGATTCAATGTAGATTTTTTTTTTCTCTTGTATATATTTCTCAATGCAATATTTCATTATTTAAAAAACATAATGTCAATATGCATCTAAGTATATTCAAAAAGAAGAGAGGCTTGCCATCTAGTCAATCACAGAACTCACAGTTTTACAAACAAGGGTGAAACTGAGCCCTACTAGTGAGAACGAGGCAAAGGACAGGTCGCTGGTTATCAAGGAAAAAGAAATGGGGTGATGGCACTTCCCCATCAGTGGGTGGGTGGCTACCACCTCTGGAGGAGGGGAAGGATCCCTCTTGCCAGCACAAGCAATCACTCCCTGAGAAGCTCTTTTCCTGCCTTTTGGTCGTGTAGGCAAGATAAGAGGAAGAGGGGGCAAGAGAAGAAAGGAAACCTAAATCTATAAAGAGGAAATACATCCCCACTCCCACACACAAACACCACCAGCTCTGGGTCCCCTCTCCTCTGGAAGAGTCTCCCCTCTCTCCAATTTCTGTCTCTTAAAATTTGCTTTCTACCCTTGCCTCTGCATTTCTCAGGTGTTTAATATTCGGGGAGGGGGAGGGGAGGAGGACCTGATTCTGATTTTCAAGGCCGGTATCACTAAGATATAGCCTTAAGGTAAGGAAACTAAATGTCTATGAATGTAAAATATCATTAATTGTTTTTACAGCCCCGACAATGATCTGGAAGAGGCCCTGTCTTGGAAACAGTTATGAGGCTGGCCGAGCCTGTTTGGGCCTTCTTTCAGTTTCTTCACACTGCTTCTGCCTCTCAACTCCGTCCTCATTGCCCTTATCCAGAAGCCCAGAAATAAGGAATCCCTCATTTTGGTCAGGGGGGTCCTTGCTGCTACTTCATTTCTATTACCACTGTCTTTTCCTAATGCAGTATTTTGTATCTAAGATATTCTTTCTAACCAACTGCTGAAGCAGTTTCCCCATCATTTATTTGAACAGTTCCAGAAGTCTTCCCCAAAGATAGCTAACAGACAGATAATGACTTCACCCTGAGACTTGCAGTCTGAGAACAGCACCTCTCTATTCTTTTCCCTAATTAAATATAAGCCCTACAGTCTAAGCTGAAAAAATGTGCCACATCACCATACGGGGGCTTAACGGTTTGGGGATTGGCTGGATGATCTGTGTATAAGCTTAAATTGCAAACTTGAATAATAAAAGTTATTATGTATGTTGCTCTCTCCGGATGGTGCTTAACCAAGATGATTTAACAAGGTTTTTTTGTTGTTGTTGATGATGATGATGATGACGACGACAATAACAATTAAGATGTTAACAATGATAATGTGAAGAACAGCACATCTGGGTAGACCCTGGTGGAGGAGTAAAACCATTCCTAGCTGGCACAGCTTTTCTCAACTTGTGTTCTATGTAAATGAGGAGGAAAACACCGGAGTAAACAAACAAGGTCGTCAGATGCCTTTCCTATAGGATGCCTCAGGTCTTTAATAGAGTAATGAGGATCAATATTCTCCAAAAATGGAAACTTCTACATTCCAAGCTTCCAAAATATATTTGGTCATGAGACTTTATTTTTCATGGAATATGTGATATCTTTGGTAATATTGGTTATTCCATGGAACCTTTATTTAGGAAAAATACACTCCAGTGATTCTAAATACAGAATCTACATATTTCTACATGTCCTGAGACATTTAATATTCTCCACCTTTTGACTGAAAAGATTATGACAGCACCAGCTATTTTGATTTTATATTTGGAGTAATGCATGTTTCTGGATTGTACATTATTAGGTACTTCTAAGTGAAGCCTGAACTATCTCTTAAGAATTGAGTTGGGTGGCACACACCCATAATTCTAGTAGCTTGGGAGACTGAGTCAGGAAGATTGCAAATTCAAAGCCAGCCTCAGCAAAAGCAAGGTGCTAAGCAACTCAGTGAGACACTGTCTGTAAATAAAATACAAAATAGGGCTGAAGATGTGGTCCAGCAGGCAAGTGGCCCCGATTTCAATCCCCAGTACCAAAAAAAGAGAGAGGGAGAGAGAGAGAGAGAGAGAGGGAGAGAGAGAGAGAGAGAGAGAGACAGAGAGAGAGGGAGAGAGAGAGAGAGAGAGAGAGAGAGAGAGAGAGAGAGAGAGAGAGAATTTATTTGGGACACCTGTAAACTAGTAGTGGTTTGGGGGACACCAAGGGCTCTTGCTTATCATTAAACTGAAGTTTTCTCCCAAGATAAGATCTATCATTACTATTAGAAACCAAAAAAAGTGAATATCATGAACTCATGGATTTTAAAACATTTAATATCTATTTTAACATATACTAATTATACATACTAATGTGGATTTTTAAATGATTCATATTCTTTTGGGGAAGATCTTATAAAATTTTTGACATCCTGTCCAACTTGTGCTACTTGAACTTCACTGCTCAAATGTGCCTTCATATTCTGTTTAAAATTCTAAATGTAACTATGAACAGTTTTTTGCCTTTATTATCAGGAATCTTATTATCTGTTCATCATAAGGAAATTTGCAACACCTTTTAAGAAAGTAATGTATCTCCAGAACTAAATATTTTAAAGACTTAATGAGAGTCAAACTAAAAAAAGAGTAATATATTTGTTGTTTTATGTTGTTATTACAAAAAAGACAATGTTTAAAGGAGCAAATAAGAGCTCTTATAAGAGCTTCCTTAAATTTACACACCTAGTTTTTCATTAGTATTTAGTTGATTTTCTGCAAAAATATGAGGACATTTCTTACCCTTGAGTCGATGAGGAAATGCAGAAAAAAATGACAACAGTCACCTTTACCCCACTACAAGCCAAGGGCACTTGAAATAATAAGATGCTGAGTGTTGGAAAACAGAGACATTCATGTTACYCACAGAAGACTGGATAAAGTCTGCCCTCCAGCAGAGAGGGAAAATCCAGAAACCTCTCCAGGGATGTTGGAAGAAGAGTGATTGCAGAGATGGTAATTTCTATTAACAATATATCTTTGGAAGATGAGAATTACTCATCATTTCTCTGTAGTTACAAATCACAACAGAACTAAATTTACGAAGGGTGTATTTGGGAAATATATTATCGAGCTAAAAGAGCAAGTAGTTGAATAATCTCATGTGTGATTCATAAGAAAACCTCACTGAAATGAGAGAAGAAAAATAAATACTGGTGACTGAACTAACCTCAAAGAAAATCTAATTTCCTGGTAACTACTGTAACCAGATGTTCTGGGGCCCTCTTTCTCTTATCATGGTTACTAGTTATCTTCAAGGGAGACTTCTAAAATAATTTAGATGCAACAAATGATTTAGATACCACAAAATAGCTTTTCTAGCCAGCACAGTGGCCCACACCTGTAATCCCAGCTGCTTGCAGGAGGTTGAGGCAGGAGGATCCCAAGTTCAAGGTCAGCCTGGGCAACTTAGTGAGACCCTGTCTCAAAATTTTAAAAAAAGGACTGGGGATATAGTTCTGTGATAAAGCACCCCTGGTATCAAAGGACAGTGCCTCATAAAACAACACTGAGCCACTTGGGCTGTGTGTGTGGATGCTTGTGATCAATCTGATGATTCAGCTATGGGCAGGTCCTTGGAAAGTCAAGAGACAGCTCAGTAGGGTAGATATTGTCACTGCCCATACCCTCTCATCCATGCCACTTCAAAACATACTGGCTGAATCCCTAGTGGCCGGTACCGATTTCTCTCCTTGAGGGTTTCTCTGGCCTCTACACCTTCCTTTGACCACCTTTAAAAAGGCCAGAAACACCAGGGAATCAATACTTCCTGGGAAAGGCCTCAAATAATGACTGGTGGAAACTGGAGAATAAATACCCCAACTTCCTCACCCTGTGACCCACTCACAAGAACTCTAACATCTGTTCTCTTTCTGCATTGGCTCTCGGATTTCTTCCATGGGATTGAGCACCAGCCAATGAAAACCTGCTTGATAATGACACCTGTATTAAATAACTTCTTTATCCCATGTGTTTCCCTGAATCACCTCTCAAATAAACTAACTGTACCCAAATTGTTGCATCAACGCTGTGCCTAATAGTGAAACTACAGGAATTCGGGACTAGATTTAAATTGATAAAATGGAGTATATTTTAAGAGAACAAATAATGATTATATTAAGATAATATGGAGTCCCTTTGAGCAGTCCCAGTAAACGGACATCTCTTATTTAGAGCAAGCAAATGGTAAAACAAAACACAGAGGGACTGCATATAAACCCATCTTAAATGCACCTGAAGGGATTCTTTATTTAGTTGCATTTCCCACACCTAGCCTTCTATGCAAATAATGGTAGATTTCAAAATGATGGAAACCCAGGTTTTTAGCTCTTCTATAGAATGAGACAAATATTAATTTTAAAAATATAGATAATGCTTTTCCACTCAATTATATTTGTTATTCTTATAAGTCATTTACTAGGAAGATCACTTTTTATTTCAAAAGAGAACACAGGAGCTGTGTCCATACAGAAGATATGCAACATGTATTTTACCTGTGTAGGTATTTAGTCTCGGCAAAGATATTTTATACAAATATTTAAAATAAAGGTTCAAAAAGAAAAAAAAAAACTTCTGAAATGAAGGCTAGAGAAAAACCACATGTAATATCTGATGATCTCATTTCATCTTTCACATTTGAAATCAAACTCTAGATCTCACCTGTTAGATGCAAAATTGTAATAGCCACTTTCCTCTAGGACTTCTTCAATCACACTCTAAAATTGAAAAAAAAAATCAGGCTAGTATCAAATTAAAAGGAACAAAATAAAATCATTCAGGGGCACTGCAAAAACCTCACCTGCATCTGCTCATACGTTATTCCTTCCTCCAAATCAGAGCTGGTGGGTGGACCTGAAATAGATGAATTATAGGAAGTCTGATATTTGGTCTAATTTTCTCAGTCACACTTTATTGGCAATTATGACTTCAAGCGCAGTGAAAATAGGTCAATTTCTTAATGATAAAAATGAGACTTAAAAAAAGTAAATTTCTAAGTGTCTTGGTTTTTGATAGATGCTCTGTTTCTCTGTAATAACTGGCTGCTTTGCATATGGCCATACTGAGATTCAGGAGCATTGCTTACATCGCAAACTGGCTGGTGAAGTCAGGGCTGTGTTTGTCTACGTTCATGAGTCCAAACATGAACTACCTGATGGGTGAGTTTTCTTATTGAGAGACTCCAATCATCCATAAGGCAAGAAGAGTACATAGGTGCTGGCAAGAAAATAAATTCTTATAGGGAGGCAGAATTAGTGAAAGACCACAAAGATCTGACTAGGGCATGTGGCTGCCTGTAGGAAAATACATTAGTGCGGAGGCCCTTTATTGATGGTTGGTAGGAATATACCAGCAGCAGCACCTTAACCTACCCCATGCTGCCAAGAGCACGGCTGACCAGTTTCTACTTCAATGTATCAACCTATGTGGAGAACTGGGAGTTCCCTGCCCCTCTGGAGGGAGAAAAGAGATCAGGCTGCAGCTGAAGGGGAGGCTTGAAGGTGTGAGTCCTTGCAGTTCATTTTCAAAGCCAAGTTTAAAGGTGCTCCCTGTTCCCTCCCCACAGCACCACAGCTCTGCTGCCTTTGCTCTTGCCAAGCCTGCTGTGACAAGGGTCATGCCTGCTCAGCTCTGGGGTGGAGCGCCGGGCTGCCCTGGGAGGAGTCCTCAACTCTGTGTCAAGCTTCTGAGAGACTTCCAWCAGAGTTCACCCCATCACAGTTGCTAATGGAAGGAGAAGTTTGGCCTGTACATGAACTCACCTGTCCTGGGAGAGACTTTTAGAAGCAAATGACTCCGCACATTTTTTATCCTGATCTTATGAGCTTCTCAGAAACCATTTTAAATGAAATTCTACCTGCATGGGGATTAGCTTTATCCCAGGAGACTAAGACTAAGGAAAAGTCTGGTAATTGATACAGGAAATAATTTGYTCAGGTAACAACATAAGCACAACTGAAGTGAAGCATTTTTCCAAATGGAAGAGATGTCAAGTCTCATTTAACTGTAAGAGCTTTAACTTTTGTTCATCTYACTTTATAGATAGAACTATGATTTATTTAGATTCAAAAATTATTCAGGAGTTCTGAAACCTCAGAGTAGCCAGAACTCTTTTTCTATGACAAGAATTTACTTATGCTGAGCTCCTACTAATGGCCAGAGACTTTTTAAGTTAAGTTGATCCTTACTATTACTCCATGACATAGGTGTTACTTATTGTTTTAAATTTTATATATTTTATGATTTTTATATGATTGTTATATTCATCCCCATTTTACAGGAAAGGATACTGAAGTTCAAAGAGCTTCCATAATTTGTTTGAGGTCAGCTTCTAAATAGTTAAGCTGAGATTTGAATCTAGGGCATCCAGGTTTGCAGAATCTTTGCCCTTAATCTCTATGTCATATTACCTCCCTATGTGAAATTTCTGCTAAAAAGGAGAAAAACTCGAATATGTTTGATGTGGATTGTTCAAGTAAGCTTCAACTTTTTCACCATTTTGAATATTTAAGCTTTCACTTTCTACTTTTTATCTCCCTTGATGCTTTGGGGCATTTTATTTCCCATCATCAGATAAGCAAGAAGAAACAGAAAGCAATCTGAGTAACAATTCACCCACACAGATTCTGCTGTTTGTTCATGGTATTAATAAATGATCAAGGAAGCTGCCACACTGGGTAAGATAAATCTCAGGGAATTTCTTGATTCCTACTATATGTCAACTATTACCATAGATAACAAAATAAGCTTTATTTTTTTTCTTTTCAGTTGAAGGTGATACTTTAGGTTTAGCTGCTGATCCAAATGATATGACTTGTGTGTGTGTGTGTGAAATCCAGATTACGCATGTTGATGACCATTACCTGTCAGGTCATTTGAGGACAGGCTGTTTCCACCCAATGAATGACGTAATAAATGGTAATCTGCAGTAAAGAAGTTTGGCTCGATTGGTTCTGGAGATCCCTGAGATAACTGAAACAGAAAAAAAAAAAAAAAGCAAACCTACATCTTATTTTATATTCAGAAGCAAATGACAGGAGACCTCTGTGTGGTGTTTTCCATTTCTCCATGTCTCTGTATAGAAAATTTAGTGCTCTGTGGATTTCAATCCCTTGAAAAGAGATAAACATCTTCCTTCCAATAGAACTTACAAATTGGAAGCGGGCACATTACAGTGAAAGCAAGTTGGACAATTCCCTGGTCCCATGAAAAAAAATACAGTTTATAGCTTTATGAGAGCAAAATAAAAATGGATAGGAAAATAATGGCTTGGGCCTGGGACATCAAGATGTTATTTTTAATCAAGCGTAGGAGGAATAAACTCCAATTATTCAACAGAACAGTATGTTTAGTCCAAATCCCAGCCCTTTCTCGTGTTTCTGCCTTGAACAATGCCTTCTTGTTTGACCAAGACAAACAAGTTTCTTATTACATTTTGCTAAATTACTATTAATTAAGGTTAATCTCCAAACATTAGTTCCTAACACTCTGAAGAAAAGAGTAATTCACCAAAGATAGAATTTATTAGAGCTCCAACGGCTTAATGTCTTCCTATAAAGCTGCATTTTTAAAATGCAATTTTAAGCTATTGATGTTTTTCAACTCCTTTCACCTTTAATTTCCACCAGCACTTGGAGATGGCCCAATTTTAATACCTGAGTTGAAATATTTTTAAAATGTCAAATATCAATAAATCAGAAACAAATGGCATAATTTGGACTAAACAATAGTAGTCACTCTGAATTCGTATACTCTGTTCACCAATTAAAATACATTCTTGTTCACTTGAGAAACCTGACAGTATATGTGACGATTAAACAATGCACATCAACCCTACAACCAGTGATTTCCCCTTAAGGATTTACATAAGAGAAATCAGTACATATATCCATCAAAATACAAGGGCAAGAATGTTCATAGTGCCTTATTAATAATAACTAAAAATTGGAAAAAATCCCAAAGTCCATGGATAGAAGAACAGATATTTCATAATGTGCTCATACAATGGAATTCTGCAAAGCAATAACAAAGAACAAACTATGAATTCTCAAAACATGGATGAGTGTTGAACGAAAGAAACCAGAAACAAAAGAATACATAGCACCTGGCTTCAGTTATGTACATTTTCATAATCAGGTAAAACTAATCTATGGTGAGAGAAATCAGGATAAAGATTACGTTGTAGCAAGGGAAGGGGATAAACCAGCAGGAGGCCTCTGTGGGGCAGGAAATGTTCTGTATGTTGATGTGGGTTCTATATGGTCACCTGGGCGAACATATATAAATATGGATTCATATAAATGTCTACAAACTTATGGTGCTGGCTCTATATGTACATCATTGTATACATCATGCATTTTATGCCTTAATGAAAATATTTTATATAAGCAAGTGATAACTAATTATTCCATCATTGTACTTTGGATACTGCAAATACAAATTATTTATGTGTCTTCCAGTCTCCATATTACCAAACATCTATGACACTAGAAGAAAAAATAATTCCAGCCTTTTTTATTCTTGAAATTTTATTTTCCTTACTTTAGTTAATAATGTATTTGTAATATGACAAGACTGTAAGATTGTAGCACACTGYAATGCAGGAGGATCTGACAGTCACATACTGACAAACTTTCCCATCATGCTGTAGGGTGCGTGGAGGTCAGCCTTAAGCATTCTGCATTTTCCCTACCCAGCGAGCAGGTCATTCCAGCTAAGCTTCTTAATATGTATTATGATGCTGAAAATAATTTCCTGGCATTACCTTTCAAATGACCATAGGGATATTTCTCCTATGCTTGGCACAGGAGTAATTTGGCTGCCTTGAAATGTTCCCCTTCATTACAGAAAGCTTGTTCAATTTAATTAAGAAGTTTATATCTTGAAATCCTAAAGATTTCACACCCCAAAAGCCCCAGAGAAAAGTGTATAAAGGGTGGGTGACCTAGAGAGATCAAGGCTGCTACTRTATGGAAAAAAAAAAAACAAGTTTTATTCATTGATTTTTTAAAGCTTAAAGAAAAAGTTTTTTGAGGTTTCCAGTCTTAAGTCACATTAGCTATCTCCGTTAGCTTTGGAACCTCAAAGAAATGGGCCTGTGGATGAAGGCAAGRACTAAAAGCCTTGCATTTGAACCCATGTACATTAATTTTTATGCAAAGAGCTTCTTAGAACTTCTGTTTGTGCTTCAGTTTCTAGATATATGTATTCTTGCAGCAAACATTTTGCTCCTTCCTGTGTGTTGTCAGCATGTTCTGTATGATATGAGCAGGCTGCAGACATGATCTGCCTTCTACAAGACCTGTATCTTGACTAGAAGAAGATGTTAACATCTGTGAAATGGTGATACAAGATATCATGAAGTATGAGATGGTGAGTTCTAGACTTTAAAAGAGGAGACCACCAGGGTTTACAGAGGTTCTGTAGAAGGAACATGGAAACCAAGCCTGGGTGTGGGTGGGTGGAATGAAGGAAGCAAAGCTGGCAATCCAGGTGAGGGGAGTTTGGGGTAACAGTCAGGCACTGCATACTGAAGACATAACAAAGAGAGGAAAATGACATGAGTCCACTGTTATGGAGTTACAAGGATTCAGAATGAAGGGGAAGTGACATTCATTAGTTCAGTGAATTTTTAAAATCAATTATTATGTGCCAAACACAGATCCAAAGAATGAAATAACTCAGTGACGATCAAGTTATACTCTGGGAGCTTGCTGCCTACTTAGGAGGAGGTGTGCCTGTRAAATATTTAGTTGGACGCGTGTAGAATTGCAACTGTGCCGAATGCCTTGAAGGGCAGGTCTGTGGTTCTAGGAGGTGATGATAGATTTGTTTTATCCAGGAAAGGCTTTCCCAAGGTACCACTTATGCCAAGAACTGATGTAATAAGTAAGAATGAGTGAAAGATGGGGTGGAAAGAGCATTACAGCCAGGGGAAAGCATGATCAAAGACTGGCGGAAACAGCATGGCAGATAAGCGAACTACAGAAAAGGGCTCATGGCTGCTCTGGAGACAGCAAGGGGCAAGAGCACCACGTGATGGAGAGATAAGCAGGGTTTGACCAAATGGGAGTGGAAATAACATGGAGAGGATTTTTGTATTCTATTAAATGATCCTCCAAAGGATTTTCTGTGATATGTGTGTGTGAGTGTGTGTGTGTGTGTGTGTGTGTGAAAGAGAGAGAGAGAGAGAGAGAGAGAGAGAGAGAGAGAGAGAGATTATGTGAGAGAGAAAGAGGTGGGGGAGATGGTCTGCTTTGAAAGAATCACCCTGATGCAATGCAATGAGCATAGTAGTTGGACTGGGGCTGGGAGAGCAGGGTGAGTGCAGACACACTAGGGGGAGTATGAGGAGGCTCAACGAAATAAATGAGTGACTTATTACTAAGTAACTCATCTAGTCTGGAAAGCTGGATCCCAGAGTTGAGATGATGGATTCAGAAACTCCTAACATTTTTTAGTGTATGATAATAAAAATCAAGTGTTAAAGAACTAACTTTAAGTCTGGCAAGACAGACTGGGGAACAAGGAGATTTGCAAAGCAGTTGTGGCACTGATGAAAGAAGGAAGGACCAAGAACCTGGACCAGGTGACAAAGGAAGGAAGGATGTGGAAGAGCCAGCATTAATAACAACAGAAACACCCACTGCCAGCTAGGGATGCTTGTGACACTCTAGTCATATTTAATAATATATTTGGTTCTTATAACTATCCCCTAAAGTAAATATCATCCCCACTTTACAGATGAGGAAACAGGGAGGTAAACTAATTTTCCCAAAGAGCATAGCTATTAAGTGGTAGAAGCAGGGCCAGAACCCAGGGCTGCCTACCACCAAAGGTCAAGCAGAACCATCCATCCTGCCACCAGTCCCAACTGCTAATAACTTGGGGGACACAAAAAATACTCGGTGGCAGAGAACTTACCTAGTCTGCATGAGGCCCTGGGTTCACTCCCCATTACTGCAGAGAAATAAGTGTCTGAAAAATGAAGTGAAGCATTTGAAAGAGACTCTAAGATTTAAAGACGGAGCAGAAGGCAAACTTACGTTGCCAGTGTTACTGGGGTGGACAGAGGAGGGGAGAACAAGGTGCCAGATGGTAAAGTAAATGTTCCCCAGGAGGCGGAAATAGGGAGGACACAGCAGGACACCTTTAAAGCAGTGGCCCTCACAGCAAGCCAGTGAACCAGCAGTCCTGGACCAGCATGCCCAAGTCCTTAGTGCACTGTGAACCTCCCACTGACAGGTGTACCTCCTGTGTGTGGCACACATGCTATTTGGAAACATGTATAAGACCTTCTTCTGAACTGAAATAAGAGGGCTCTCCTGCTCTGAACAGACATTACAGTTCTGAAGAACAAACAATAATCCATGCTATTTGGTGGGGGAACTGGGGATTGAACTGAGCTATACCCACAGCCCTTTTTCCTTTTTATTTTGAGACAGGGTCTTGTAAATTACACAGTCTGATTTTGAACTTGGAATCCTTCTGCCTCAACCTCTAGAATCTCTGGGGTTATGGGCATTCCCCAGACTGCCCAGTTGATACACACTTTTGAACTAAGCAAGTCAAATAAATAAATTCCAGAGAACAGGCTTTATATCCCTATTCCCACTCCTCCTCCTCCTCCTCCCCAAACACCATTGATTTTGAGCATGTATTATGCAATTTGAGCACTTACTGGTCAATAGAATATAGTGCTTTTTTAGACAGAACCTAAAAGAGAAGGAAACAATGAGAAACTACAAATGTAATCGCTACTAAATTTCCCAAACGACATTTTCTTTCCCATATCATAAAATAAGGCTATCTGCTGCAGAACAACTACACAAATTATGTGGGATCTAATGCAACTGAGGTAGGACTCTGGAAGAAATTGAGCCAAACATAAATGAAATGAGGTACCAGCAGTGAGAAAATTCACAACATGTTCCATCACTCTGCACTCGCTGGTCTCTGGTCTCATTTCCTTT